GAGAGGAGGAGAGGAGGGGGAGGGAGGGGAGGGAGAGAGAGAGAGAGAGAGAGAGATCAAATAAAGAAAAGTGCATTATGCAACAGATTCCTCCATACCTGAATCATAGCCAGAGAGCTTCTGCACCCTGACATAGTCAGGAACAGTCTCCAATATGAGGTTTCTAAATCCTTGAGCATAGCAAACAAAACCCCACTGCCAAAGCTTGCTCTTTCCATAATATATTTCCGATAATCCATACTGAAAAAAAGGCCTTATTTTGCAGTAAGTGGAATTGGGTTTTGCGAACAATGGATGCATATTCAGTTGCAGAGGAAACAGTAATGGAAAATCAGAATTTGTTTTGCTTATTATTGTGAATAAAAAGGCTAAAAGAGTGAGGGAGGGCTGAGCATAAATAGATTTTGGAGGCGTTAGTGACAACGCGTTGAAGAAATGCCCATAACATAGAAGGCAATTTCAATTATGCTATAAGATTTTGAAAATATTAAAGGGTAGGGTTTTCATAAGGCTGCAGTCCTAAACAAACGGGTGCGGTTTCTATAAGGTTGCAACCTTAAACAATCCAATTAAGGTGCACCTCTAAATTTTATCATATAATTTTGTTGTAAAAAATTATTAGTATTATTTTAAAATCTATTTTTATATCTACTTAGAAAATTTAAAATGTCAAAAATGATTAAAATCAAGAAGATCTATAAACATATGAAAATCTTGAAAATGGACGTCTAGATAATATGTTGCAAGATGTACTAATTCTGAGATTCAATTTTTATTTTTATTTTTTATATTCATACATCTTGATGTCGAGATGATAAAATGTAGGATTTTTCATCATTAAAACAACCTTTTCGATAGATTTTTGAGGTGCATCCGTAATTCTACATCTTAAGGTTGCAACCTTATATAAACTTTTTTCTAAACAATAAGGTGCACTTTCAAACTTAGTCATAAAATTCAATTTTGGTTTCTAAGATTTAGAATGGCGCGAGAATTTATGTTCATCTCTAATTATAAAATTTCAAATTTCATAAATAGTTTAAATCAATTAAATTTATAAATAAATAAAAATCTTGAAAATAGACACTCTAGATAAATGTTGCGGACGTAGTTAGCATGTGGGCAAAGTCCGCACATGTACAAATCTGGGCTTGACAATAAGTACTTTTTAAAATATAATTTGATCTTAATTTTTAGAAACTATATAATATTTAACACAGAGATCATGAATATGATAAATAAATAAAATTTGAAAACTAAAAAATAATAATATATTAATAAAATATTCGGATGATTAATTACAATTGTTTTTAGATGTACCACCTACTTGCATTCATTTTTAAGATGGATGCTTTATACCTCTAGCCCACATGAAACAATTGTTCCTATATCACAAGATATATAATTTTTTATACATAAAAATTTTGTTTTTTTTCACATATCTCAATGTGGAGATGATCAAATTTTCCAACTTCAAAACAATATTCTCCATATAATCATTTTTCAGGTGCGTCAACCATATGGAAACTTTTTCCAATAGTAAAACATTAATTTGTGGACATTATCAAAATATACTTGCCCTATCACATTTAATTTGTGTGCATAATCTGCTCGGGCGGGAGCAGTACAATGTACATACCCACCTAATTCAAAATACCTACTCGGAGGTGTTTTTTTTAATTCAAAATTTTAGGAACCGGATTATGAATTTTGACTTTTTTGGCGCTGTGTTAAATCTTGGGACTTTTTATTTTCTAGTACAAATAGAGTTCAAATTCAGAAATCTTTTTTTTATTGAGGTTTGTAGAGGTTATATCCTTAAAATTTAGAGACTTAAAATTACTTCTATATTAGATTTTACCTGAGGGAGTAAATGGATAGTAGAATCCCACATAAGTCTAAAATATTTTGGCTTTAATATTTCCACCTTATAGTAAATCGCACCTATAACTTTCGTTGAAAGATGTAGTTCCGGTGTCAAAAACTTTATCACCATTTGAAAATCCATGTTTAACTCTAGTTATGAATTTAGACTTCTAAAAATAATGCAAATCGAGTATATCTATAAAGACTTGAAAATATTGAAAATAGATAGTCCAAATAATTTATTACATGGTACACTATTTTAAGAACTTGAATTTTTTTTCTTTATATCTTATGTCTCAAGGTTAAGATGATTAATTGAAAGATTTTCCAATTTCAAAATATTTTTATTTTTTATTTTTTAGGTGCACCGCACTTCAATGGTATAATGTTACAACCTTATATAAATTTTTTCCTTAATATTTCACCCATTTTCAACTATTCCAGGTTGACAAGCACTTTGAAATAAAATAAAATAATTAGGTAAAATATTAAATAAGGGTGACGTTTGTAAAAGATGCCAATCCTATGCTATTGAAGCAAGGCGCACCTCAAAACCGTGCCAAAAGATGTAGTTTCAGTGCCAAAAGTTTTGCAATGGCATGAAAATTTATCGGTAGCCCCAATTATGAAACATTAAGCCCCCCCAATATGGTACGGATCAAGTAGATCTATAAACAGTTTAATTGTGATAATCGGTGGTATACAAAATATATTACAAAATACACTATTTTTATGACATAAAATATCTTTCTTTTTTATTTAAATACAACTCAAGCTTGGGATGATCAGTTTGAAGATTTTTTTAGTATTGGAACAACATTTTGCGCTGGATTACTTTAGTAATATAAGAGGGACAACTTATATAAACTTTTTTTCATCAAATAAATCATCACTCAAAGTGCATCTTGATAAATTCCTCCAATATGTATAAAAACTCTCTCACCAGGTGAGTCCGTCAATTACAACGTCAACTTATCAACAGGGGACCTTCCTACATATTTCTCTATGTACTTATCACAAGACATTTGCTATGTTCATTGGGAATTCGTATTTCTTATTTTTCATATAAGACTTTTTCTCTTTCATCTTTGAGTTTGATACACTATCTCGAGTATTTTCATGTCATCTCCCTTACTGTCACTTAATTGTATAATAAAAAAGGGCTATTACTAGTTTTTTGGTTCTTCAATTCTTCATAGTGAATAAATAAACAACTTTATCTTTGCATGAATATAAAAAACAATACCAAAAGTGTTTGCCATTTATCTTTTATATATGGAGGTCAAAATTATTATTGACCTTTAAATTTTAAAATAGGTGGTTGTAAGAGTACAATTGAATAGACACAAAGTTCTAAAAAAAAAGAGAGGAAAATATCTCGATATCCCTTATTTTTAAGTTTCATTTCATAATAGACCTAAGGTTTTAACCCCCTGAGTTACTTTAAACTTGTTATCTAGGCTAAATAAATCTAAAAAGACATGTCTTTTCTAAAAGCCATCTTCTCAAAGTTCTGTTTCCCAACCCCCCTTTTCTCTCTCCGTCTTTCCCATCTCTAATCCCTCACTTTATCTCCTCCCGCTCTCTCTTTTCGTGTTTCCCATCTCTATCCCCTTACTCTCTCTCCTCCCACATATACAATAAGTATACGGAGAGAAAGAGAGGTGTTTGGTGGTGAGAGGTGTTGGGTTTATGTGACCTTTAAAGGTATTGTGAATGTGTAATAAAAAATATTTATTATAGTAGAACATAAACTCAGTAGGAGTGTGGTCCCTCGAGGGCCATACTAAGCAAATGATGTTTGCTGATACCAATGTTTTAAAATGCGACTGCATTATGCAGGATGCGGTCACATCTGCATCAGAAACAGGCGCATATGCGCTTTTGACAGATGCGACCGCATCATAGTTACATGTTGCATAAGCTGCATCGCACCGCATCCCAGTGCTACAGTGTCCATGATTTTTTTTTCTGTTTTGCCCCTTGAGGACGTGCAAAATGGTATTTTTGACCATCCAAATGTTAGAAAAATTGTTTGGGGGGGGTGGGTATTAGGGGCCCTAAACGAAGATTTTCAGCCACTTTTGTGGCTTTTTTTGCATCAAATTGAGGTAAAAAAAAATTTAGGTAGAATTTGTTTTTCATCAAAATCTTTGATTTGGCAGTTGTTTGATACTTGGATGTTCATTGGATGCCTTTGATTGTTGATTTGAAGATGTTAGGGTGAATTTGTGATAAAAAATCGAGAGCTTCAGAGGTTGTAAAGAAATCGACTAGTACTTCATAGAGTCGGTAAAATTTTTCCTTCTTGTACAATATTACTATTATACATATTTTTGGGGCAATGTCTTCTTTCCAATCTTCTAGTAATAAGGATCCCGCTTGAAAATATACTAAACTAAAAAATCCCAAAGATAGAAATGGTGTTGTGGAAATACTTATATGGGTGGATAACTGGATACAGAATATCCGACAGCTAATAGTTTTGAACTAAATCATTAAACTAAAATATCTACTATCACATATATCACCTTCATATTTTTTTTCTATGCGTTAACTTATTTTTTAAAAAATTTTAGAATTTTTTTATATTTATTGACCGCATTATCGCGATGCACTCGCATCCAGGCCTCCCACCACATCAGGGCCGCATCCTGTATTTTCAAATACTGGCTGATACCGAACTGTGCTTGACGATCTAAGCCAGTAGGTTGGAAAACCCAAGATACCAGGGCGTAAAGAATAAACCGATAAGGGTTTTGGGTTAGCCCTTGATGAGGTCGGAGATTATGCCTGGATGAGTGCGCCGAGGGATTGTGTGACCCTTATGTGTGATGGTAGGCCTACAGAGACGGGGTCAAATCCCCATCCATATTTCATCACACATTATGCATATCGATAGATCATTCCGTAAATCCAGTTATCTACCTTTTGGTGAAGCGTATGCATGTGTGAGAGAGATATCCCTATGCACCATAGAGCTGTGGGCGCATCAGGTCAAGGTGACCTCGACTCGTCTCTAAGGGAGGACTTGTAATCCATAGATTGGGATTGCAATCCCTTGACTCATTGGCCAGACTTTGGTGACCCGCTAATGAACCCCTGCTTGGACTGTGGGTCATGGAAAACACTGGGTCGGTTTGATAATACAAGTGCGGTTAATAATCCACCGTTGAAGGTGGAGTACCCCGTGATTGGTGATATAATTCCTGAACCATATGGATCCACTTCTCATCATATTAATTTAATTATGTTCATTTTATTATTAAATTATTTTAGATTTATTATTAGAATTTTTATAAGTCATTTGATATTTTATTTATTATTTTTGGACATATAAAAATGAACTTTTAATTTACAAAGTTATAATGTTTTAAAATTCGTTTTGTTTAATTTTAAAATATTTATAAAAAAATACATGGGAGCCTATAGTACACATAGGCCCATCATGTGGGTATTAGGTGGGGCCCCACATGCCATACATGGGTAGCACGCCCCATCCTTGGATACATTCTCTTGTTGCTTTGTGTTCAAGTTATTTAAATACGGTAACGATATCTT